CCCGGTACTTCCATTTGCAACATGGGTGTATTAACTGTTAGGCCAAACACCCATCCCCAGTCAACATTTTGAAGTACTGATGGTTAGAACTTCTATGTAAGACTGTTGGGGGAGCATAGTGCAACAAGTACCATTCCTTATTGAAAAGTAAGTTTGAATGATAAGGCAATGATAAAGCTCCTCCTTGCTGCAGAATTCTTAAAACCTGGGTCTGTTTGCTTGACACATAGCAAGACAGTCGCTGACATCATGGTGGCAGAAGAAAGTCGGTGTTTATTGCAGAAGTACAGAGCAAGGAGCTGGGCAGCTGTGACTTAATTCCCAAGCTCCTCGAGGGGTTAGGGTAGAGGTTCTTTTAGATTGCAGGTGGAATTGAGAGGCGCATGTTTCAATATCCTGTTCTTTTGGGAATTTTGATGATGGTAAGATGAGCTCCAGTTCGTCAGGTGGTATAGTTACTTCTTGCTCAGGGCTTCAGTTTCCTGGGAAAAAACCATCCAGACAAGACTTAACGTCAAGGTGTTATATCCTTGGGGGAGATAAATGACCTCCTAAGTCTTGTGTTCAGGGACCCTGTAAGCTCAGCTGCATCAATGCCTCAGTTCAGTGAGTTAATTTTAGTGAGAGGCTTATTTGCAATCACAAACTCAGTGCAAAAAAAAAAAAAAAAGTTCACACTAAGGGAGGGAGACTGGGAGACCTGGGCAACTAAGACCTGATGGTGTTTAGCACCTGCATGAAAGCACTGTATAAGGGTGCCTGTTGTTTGGGACAGGTGTTTAGTGTATCAGTTAAGTCTTCTCCTGGGTAGCTCACATGCCCTATCAGAGTGCGTGGGTTTAAGCCCTGGCTCTGCTCTGCCCAGGTTTAGCAGTGATGGCTCTGGAAGTTGGGTCCCTGTCATTCACAAGGGAGACCTGGATTGGCTTCCTGGCTCCTGGCTTCAGTTTGACCAGTCCCAGCAATTTGCGGGCATTTGGGGAGTGAGCCAGATGATGGGGGAATTCTTATTCTCTGTCTTCTGTCTCTCTGTCTCTCTCTGCCTTTGAAATACGTAGAAGAAATAATTTAAAATGTTATTTTCCATCATTCCAGGGTACCACGTTTCTGAATCCCCACATAAACCAGTTAATTGGAATGGAAAGTAACTTTATCCACTGTTTTACAACCTATAAGTCAATTTTATTTTTCTATGCCAAGGTTATTTACTTAATCATAATTAGAGACTAGGTTAAAAAAGTGAAAAATTTATTTTGGTTATATCTAGATTTTTCTCTGTTTTCATTTTGTATTTTTATATTCAAGTTAGAGATGTTTTTATCTTGAATTGTGAACTAATGTGCAATTGCTTTTAAAAATAGTTTGTACTTTTTCTGGCAATATAAGGAATAAACAGTGGAAAAATTACCAGTGAAAGTGAAGGATAAAATTAACAAGAAAATACAAAATGAAGACTTATTAAAAACCACATTATGCTGAGTGTAATAAGCAAATCCCAAAGGGACAAATACCACTTGTTCTCCTTGATAGGTGACAACTAACTGAGCACCAAAAAGGAAACCTGTTAAAGTGAAATGAACACTATGAGAAACGGTGACTTGATCAGCCCTCACCCTGACTGTTGATGAGCAGCTTAATATGT